AGTAATGAATATCATAAACTAAAGCTGTCATAGTTCATATGGTTAATCATGTAAGTTGTGTGTATCTGTAAAACTGGTACTGAATTCCCCCAAACTATACCTATTATAGCTTGATTGAAAAGTTATGCTCGTGATTTGTTCTAAAAACTATGCAATTATGTTTAGGAAGCATCCCTTATGCTCCGCATAGTACAAAAGGGATAAAATATCTATATATTTTATGGAAATCGTTGGATTTTATCAGTTGCATAAGTTTTAAATTGGTTGAAAACCTTTTGTTTTAGTTCACAAAATCATTTGTATTTGGCTTGTATTCCCCCTGAAAACGTATAAAAACCATAAAAGCGTAGGGTATGAACTCATTGTTTGTTGTGTGAAAGCGTTGAACTTAGGGATGACAATGGGTACGGGTATACCGGGTTTCGTGTTCCCCATCCCCATACCCGAATCCTCATCCCCATCCCCATACCCGACCCTATCCCCATCGGGGATTAAAAATCTATCCCCATCCCCAATGGGTATCGGGGATCCCCAATGGGTAATTGGGGATTTTTACCCGATACAAGGTTTTGAACTTTTATGAAAAATAACTCATAATTATATATTAACCAACAAAACAAAAACTAATAGAACTAATATAAAACACTATAATCACTGAATGTCTTCAAACATGAACAATAACATTCAAGGTTACAAATTTAATCATTTTTTTGCTAAAAAAGACATAAAAAGTCTTCCCAAAGCTATATGTTTGATTGTTAAAAAACCTTACTTTGTCAACTGAACATTTTCTTATGCATTATAAAAAATAAAAACCTAAATAATACTATATATATATATATATATATATATATATATATATATATATATATATATATATATATATATATATATATATAGGGTACCCATCGGGGCCGGTTTTGGGTACGGGTATGGGTACTCGACAGGTAGAACCATCTCCATCCTCATCCCCGGTTTTTGTATTCGGGTAATACCCATCCCCATCCCCGTCCCTGGTCAACTTGGGGATTTACCCAGTCAACTCAGGTTAGGGTTTCGGGTACCCATCGGGTACTGGTTTTTTTGCCATCTCTAGTCGAACTGGAAATGAAGATCCTCGAGTTGTTATATGTGGCACTTAACGGAATCCTAATATCAAATAAATACATATATGTATCTAAATTAGCGATTTTATTACATAAAGTGTTAGAAAAACACTTGATTTCGATTAAGGATGTTACCGGACTTGATTGAATCGAGGAAACAGGATTTTCACCACTTAGGAGGTGTATACGGCCGTGAACACAGGTTTACCGTTTACGGTCGTGAACGGTTTACGGTCGTTGACTCCTCTTTGAAGGGTTTACGGCCATTGAAGATATGAAGGGTGTACGACTGTAAACTCAAGAACAAGGGTGGCTGATTTCGTAGAAAATGTGTTCCATATGCTCTAAATCGACCCTAAATGATGATTTTTTTTATGATTTTCGGGAGAAAAGAGGTGTTTTTGGTGTTTACGATCAGGGGTTCTAGAGAGAGAATGAGAGAGTTTTCGGCTAAGAAGGATCAAATGGAGGTGGGGGTCCTGTATTTATAGGTTGGGGGTATGGTCGGTGGTGGGGTCCACCTGGCACCAACCGAAAATGGGTTTACAGCCCTAAACAGGTGTATGACCATAAATAGGTACGCGACTACACACAGGTGTACAACCATACACCCACTTAGGCCGAAAATTGTTAGATTTTGAGACTCTTCGGGTTTTTTGCGCGATTTTTGGTTTCGGCTCGTACGTAATCTAACATATATATATATATATATATATATATATATATATATATATATATATATACACATATGTTGGATTAGATTTCTAAGCCCATAACTATTATTGGTATGTACTTGACCCGAGAGTAGCATGGTCCATTTGGGTTGCATATCATCAGGACAATTTGTTAGGATGGACTTTTGAGAGAAGGTTATTTATGGTTTATTAATATATTATAAGTTATAATATATTAATATGAAATCATATGTTTTAGTTAGTATCGATCAAGAATTAATTTGGAATTAATTTAGTGATCACAAGAGACTAATTAAATCTATGGGGACTAATTATGATAATTAGTTATATTTATATGTGTTGGGCTTATGACCCATGTTGGACCAAGTTTATGTATGGATACATAAAGAGTTGGGCCACATGAACCATGGATCATAAAACCCATGGGTATGGATTATGGGTTATACCCATGACCCTTGGAATCCTACATATAAATAGTTTACTCCATAGCCAAAATCACCACTTCTTTTCTTAGAGAAATATGGAGGTGTTTTGGTGTATGGAATTCTCTCTCAAGAGCCACCTTTGTCCTAGGTGTGTTGTGATTCTATTTGAGGCATTTCATACTATTGGTGCTAAGCTCTTAAGGCCAAATACATCAAGACTTCAAGCCACATAAAAGGTATGTTTCCATAACTAGTATATTATATGGTTTATGTCAAATGCATGCTAGTTATAGGTTTAATGCCTCGGGAAACCATTTGCATGTATAATTAGTGAAAGCATAGATTCAAGGTATTTAGAGTTGTATGTGCACCATAAGATGTTGTATTATACCAAAACCCAACAATATATATATATATATATATATATATGTGTGTGTGTGTGTGTGTGTGTGTGTGTGTGTGTGTGTGTGGAACGTAATAATTTTTCCAAAACAAGGAATTTGACGGAAATCCAATAAAATTCAAATTTTATTAATGGATTTTGGTTCAAGATAACGGGAAATATTTCGGGTTGTCACATCAAGTGACAAGTAATGCAGGAAATAAAGAGTTGTGAATCAATCAAGTTAATAACAAAACACTTTTATGCTTAAAAACAATGATTCAAATGTGTCTCATATTCATCAGAATTCAGTCACAAGTGTTTGAATGTAAAACACGCTAAAACACTTAAATGGCTTTTTGAAAACTAATCTAAACAACAATTGAGCAGAATGAACAGGGAATGATCAGAATTGAGCAACTTTATAATGGATCCCAAGGGGCCTATTTATAGGATTTGGAAAAGCCCATGACATGGCTTGACCAATCAGGTGTTGACACGTCATCATAACTTAGCCATCAGTTGACCCATTTGCCCTACTTAACAGAGAATAGATGGAATATTCCAATTTCGTTAGTATTCTGTTAGGGTTCCATCTAATTTTTGAGTCTTCATGTTTTTAGAGCCTTCTTGATCAACATTGAAAATGTGATGAGTAACATGAGCATCATGCTGCTCCGTCGTCCTCTAATATGTCATCAACTTCCATAAATGTCATTGATCAAGTTGAGTTGTTTCTTGAATGTTGGAATATGTCTTGAACTTGAAGATGTACAACCACGTGTTTATGATGGACCATGGATGAACTTTATGTGCCATTGATAATTTGGACGTGTCATCATTGTACATGCTGAGCCATGTGCACTCTTGTTGAGCCATTAATGTGATCATGATGATCCATTGACTTGAGATGAGCAACCAAGTATTCATGTTGATCTATCACTGGCTTGTTGAGCCATAGAGTTGTGGATGAGCCAATAGACAAGCCATCAATATTCCAGATGATCCACCAATATCTTGATGCTCCACATATGATCTAGATGTGCCATCTGAGACCATGATGAACTAACTTGTTTTCTTCAGGTGCTCCATGTAAATTGAAGAGTAAATTACACGAATGGTCCCTATGGTTTGGGGTAATTTGCGTGCTTGGTCCCTAACTTATTTGTTTAACTCAGAAAGTCCCTAATGTTTGTTTTTATTATGCGTTTGGTCCTTAATGTTTGTTTTTATTACGTGATTGGTCCCTGTCTTATCTAAAAAAATTATTATTTAAATAGGAAAAAAATGTAGGATTGGTAGGGTAAAGTGAGGGGGTTGGGGTGTGTTTATTTAAATATTTTAAAAAATCAAGGTCAAAATAGTTTTTTTAGGTAAGACAGGGACCAAACGTGTAACAAAAACAAACAGTAGGGACCTTCTGAGTTAAAAAAATAAATTAGATACCAAACGCGCAAATTACTCTAAACCATAAGGACCATTCGTGTAATTTACTCTAAACTGAAAGTGATCCATGTTCTGCAAGTGCCCTATAAAAATATTTCCAACACGATCCTCCACGAGATTTGTTGGTACTGAATAAAATTAATTTAAAAGTTATAAATTAAATTAAAATATATATAAAATTTATTTTATATATAAAATATACAAAAGGCATCCCGAAAAAAAAAAAAAAAAAAAAAGACGCCATAAAAGAGTAAAATAGGTACCATTTATAAAAAAAGAGTTGTAATATATGATATGAACAAAAATAAAAAGTGATCAAGTGACCAATACATTGATGCTAGTTTTGCGATATACATACACCCTTGCTTCGGGCACCCTAAAAGGACCTGAGTACTTCTATTCTGCTAATGTCATGGTGGAAAAATTTAAACGTTACAAGTGATACATCATCCACGAGCAGTTAACAATCCGATTAGATTTGATTTACGAACCAGATGATCAGAGAAATCAATCGCCATTCCAATCGAGTGAAGCCTCGAAAGAGCCCGTGAAATCTCAGATCATCCTGTTATTCGCCGAGCCTCAATCCGGAGAAGGAATCAACAAATGCAGAACCGACGATGAACGTCTCCGGTCGGAAACCCTAGAAGCTTCATCTCGGTTTCTCAAGGTTCGTTTTGTTATCATTATTGAATTTCAAGGGTTTAGGGTTAGGGCTAGGGTTTATATTTCGGTTCCTCAAACGTCGTTTGGTTATCATTATTGTTCCATCGTAAGATCTTGATGCATCTAAAATTTAAGTTTCGTGTGTTTTCTTATTGGTTTGATTCCATGGCTCCGTAATTTCATCTAAGCAATTAACATCCCTGCTCGTGTTCCATGTTAACTGTAGCAGAAGAATCGCATAACGAAAACGAAAAATCATTGCCGGTGGTGAATCCGGATCATGTCAGAAATCTCAAGGGACATGAATACCTCAGATGATTCAGATATCGGGCCTGACTTATTCCAATACTACATTCGCGGTGTATCAGAGTTGCTCTCCGGAGATGATTTCTCACCTTCTTCTTCTCGATTAGTTGGAACAGAAGCAAATAGGAGCGGTGCATCTAATGAGAAAACTTCTCCTGCTGGCCTTGGTTCCTTGTTTTCTAATGCTGTAGGATATGGACTCTCAGGTGTTGAGAAAGCAAGATTGATGTCAATGCTACGCCAAAGTGTTGTTACTCTCACAAAGGAAGTAGATGAGGTATGCTCTATGTCTCAAATAACTTTCCGCCATGGTTTTTATTTGATCTAGATGTTATTGGGCAAGTTTATAACTTTTTCATGAAGTGTTATACTATCACTTGATTGCTTACATAAAATTTGAAAGCAGATGTTGGGCCCTGTTTTTTCAATGCATCGGTTAAGAGCTCTTATGGGACCTACAAAGACCTGTGCAAGATTTCAAGATTCAAACTGTGAAGTTGTGACTGAAAATCGTGCACCAAAGAGACTTAAGGTTTCATCTTCTTTGTCTTTGAATTCACACATGTTTTGTTTCACTCTATCACTATTCTATAAGCATTACTAATCAACTATATTGGAAAAAGGAAAAGTTACCGAATTGGTATATTAAGTGGTTGAATCATGAATGAACTTGGGCGTTTGTGGAAACAATTATATTTTCATTTATAGGTTCTTATATTACATTGCCACATTTGTATCTTAAACTTATAAGTTTTTAGTAGCTAAGAATCCGAATCTTGAGAGTTAAAATTATATCATGAATCACAAAGTTTCCTTTTATTTGTGAAGAGCATAGATCTTTTATCGTATCACATGGTTAAGATGAGACAAAATTATTGTTTTAATGACTTATTTGGCCATTATGTGACATTAACTCTATGTTATTTCAAGCTTACCATTTCCCCTGTCTGAATATTTTGAAATATACAGGTAACACCAAATGAACAAAAGGGTATGGCTATATCAGATAAGTCATGTCAGAATAGGGGATGCGCAAAGTTTTCTGAAATGGACAATAATACCCAAAAAAGCAACACTAATGAATCCAAGGTTATTGAAGTTTTTATATTTCACATGTTCTTATATGATATTTATGCTTATTACTTGTTAATTTAATCCTTCATTTTTTTAGTTGTTGTGTGGTGATTGTTTAAAACAAGCAAATGGCTCTCATGAACACATGAATGAGTCGTTTTTGGGATCAACTTCTAGAGATGATAAAGAAAATGGAGAGGTAGATATTCTGACATTTATTTGTGTATCATAGAATCCTACTTTCATTTGACCCTTTTGCCCTTCCTTCCCCCATTTTCAGGTTAATGATGATTTGCAAGTTCTTCTGGTAAACAGAGGTCCGAAGGTCGTAGAAAAGATGGAGAAACATTCTGCTGAATTATCTGCAATTGTAAATAAAAAAATCTCAAGTTCTGATTTTTTATTTTTTACATTTCTTTTTTGGCTAATTTGATGATGAATTTGTGGTTTTTTACAGCTTGGGCGTATGGAGGATAAACTTGAAGAGCTTCTTGATGTTATCATTTCCAGTTGCAGGTAACTTTTCATTTTTCAGTCTGCCATTGATTTGTTGATGGAGGGCTTTTACGTCTTTTTAAAGAAATGCTGAAAGTAAATGGTCAGCTTATCAAATGTTTATATGTTGATAGATCATGTTATTCTGGTTATAAGCCAAGGCTGCAAAAGTTGCAAGACCTTAAATTATTAAAAAAATTATTTTAGAAAAATTAAATATGACCAATATATTAACAAAATAAGTAAATAATCATCAAAACATATGTGTTCTAAGTGTTTAAATGAAATAGTTTACTCACCAATCATCATACCATGTGTCCAAAGTAGTTAATAAGTTCAAAAACTTAAATCTTGGTATGAGTTGAGATAAAATAGAATGAAAATTAATTTTGATTTTTTTTTTTCGTTTTTTGATTATTTGACTGATTTTAAGTGCAAGAAGTAGCTACATACTTTAATTTATTTGTTTATTAGAGCATCTGCAATGGAAGCTTCTTTTTTGATCTTATTACTATTTACTTTTATCTATTAAATGGTAAGTATTGGAGGAGATAGATTATTTGCTTATTTTATTGACTAGTCAATATGTATTAGTCAAATATATATTGAGTGGTTAATATACTTTTACATTTAGTATATATCTAAGCCCTCGTTCTGTAGTAATATTTCATTTTACTCCTTAAATATATTTTTGTTTTAAATTATTGTTATTTGTTTACTAATTAATTCATTTTATTATATATAATGACAATTTATTTAAGAAATGTAAATTTTATATTGATTTTAATAACGTTTTTAAAACCTTTATTTTTAAATTTTTTATAACTACGACGTAATACTTTTTTCATATTTTATGTACATAAAATAATGACCCGACATAGTTGTGTGTGTGTGTGTGTGTGTGTATATATATATATATATATATATATATATGTTTGTGACATTTTGGATATAATGCGTGTTTAGAAAACGACTAGTTAAATGAGGGGGTTTATAGAATATTTTAGATAGATAAAGATATATTAGTTAATTTAAGAAAAAAAAAGCTATTTAAAGGAGTTAACTATTGGAGATGTTATTTAATTAGAGCTTAAAGTTATAGGAATGATGAGTTGGCAATTTTTTTTTGAGTCTTAGCATAGGCTAACCATTGGAGATGCTCTTAGAGCATTTAGCTTTCATTTTTTTTATATTACAACAATATACTTACATTCTTTTTTGTATCAAGACATTGTACTTTGAAAACTCTTCTTAGTGAAAATTGCTTTTTGTATTTGGATGCCATTGCTAATTAGGGGGATTTTTAAAAGGATAATGATGTAATAGGAAGAAATGAAAGTAAGATGCTATATCTTTCGGTTAACCATTTTAATATTTGTTATGGCTATTAACTGTGTAAATTTGTTATTTGGTAGACAAACTTGTTCTTTCTAAGACTTAATATTAATATTTGGATTTTATGAAAAATTTGGTTTAATCAGGCACATGACACTTTTGGAAAAGCATAAGCTACGAAAATTAATCGAAAAGTTGCCTCCAAAAAACTTGGATCGTGTTGCGGAAATTATACAACGGGGAAAGCCATCTGAAAAGCGATCTTCTGATAATATTGATGTTGATCTGCAACAAGAGGTAACACAATAATGTTTTATCTGTACTTGAATGATAATATCTATTCTTTTGAAGAAAAAATGATAATATCTATAACATAATCATCCCTAAATACAAACACATAGACCAAGATATCGTCATCTTTGAGCAACCCTACGTTATTACTTCCTAGGGGTCACCCATCCTTGTATTGCCCAATATAAAAAAAAAACGTTCTGAAATTAGACACACCCTCGCCTTTGTAAGGAATCCCCCCCCCCCCCCCCCCCCACACACACACACACACTTACCAGATATAGATATTGTGTTTGATCGTCCCGACATGAGGACTTCCCACTAGGAATATAGATTTGGTCTGCTGTTGCATGACTATGCTTAACCACCAACACGAGTTCAACTTAATGAGGGAAATTGATAGAAGTGAGAAGAAAAGTAAAAGATATCGATGTTCCTTAAGCTTCATGAGAGAGAGAGAGAGAGAGAGAGTTTTGGTCACTTAACTTTTGGTTTTGTACTCGTTTAGTCACCAAACTTTTAAAATTGTGCTCGTACTCGTACTAAATGAGCACAATTTTAAAAGTTAGGTGACTAATTATGATCAAAACAAAAGTTAAGCGACTAAATGAGCACAAAGTGACAAAATGAGAACAAAACCAAATGTTAAGTGACCAAAAATGACCTAAACTCATTTTCTTTTGACTTCTCTCATGGCACTTTCCTTTCTATCCCTACTTGCTTTCCTTTCTTTTATCTTCTTTGCTAAAACTCGGGAAGATTATACACAATAGGTTCTTTTAGGAGTTTTTAAGAACATTTTCAAATAAAAATCTCTTCAAAATTGAAAAAAACTATTAGAGGAGCTTTTTCAAGGAGCATGTAAATTCTTAAGCTTTACCATAGCTTTTTCGGTGATTGTGGTGGGTCCTCTAGATTTCAAGCAACTATAAATAGTCAATGTATACAAACAATATATAAACAAGCAAATTAAAAAAAAAACTATCCTATTGTGGAGCTATAATGAGTTTTCTATTTCAAGCTTTTCTTTTTATGAAAAAGCTCCACCAAAAAGCACCCTTACGGATTTAAAAAACGTTTTGGAAGCAGAGATATCCACACTCTTATAAGGAATGTTTCGTTCTCCTTCTAATCGACTGTACTGTTTTTGCCCAAGCATATCTAACTATGGAGTTTTGACCTGCTTTTGCCCAAACACGTTTAACTACGGAGTTCAGATGACGCTTTAATAGCTTTAAAGCACGTCTTTGAAGGAGACGTATCCATACCCTTATAAGGAATGTTTGGTTTCGCGTTCCTCAACTGCTCATATTATGTGGTTATGCTGCAGGATAATATAACACTATGGAGATTATACTTTTACGTTAAAGCAGTTGAAAACGCTCAAAAGCTTTCTTAGGAGTCAGATGTTCTTATAGCCTTCACGATTAAAAAGATTTTGTTGTAACGATCTAACGTTTTTTTTGGTGAGGATGTTTGGGTCAAAGTAAGTGTATATATACATATCTTTGGGAAAAGTTGTACATATGATAATCGATTGATCATTCGAATGTTATGTTTTAGCGGAAGACAAGATTTGTCGTTTTTTTTGTTCCACAAATAATCACTTTGTAGTTATACTATCTTTTGGTGGTTATGAATTTTGGTTACAAAATTTTATGTTAAAGTCGCTTTGATGTTGCTTTTTAATTATTACAAGTAAATCCATAATGCGAACTTTTGATCGAGATTTCGTTTTACTGGAAAGTATTTTGAGTAGGTAACAAATAACAGGGTTAAGGCGGTCTTTGGGAGTGTTTTTCAATCAACTTATTGACTTTTTGGAAAAGTTAGGAGTTCCTAGCTTTTTGAAAAAGTCGTTTTTTTTTTTTGAATAAGTTATTTTTTTCCCTAAAATGTTAGTGTTACAAAACATTTTTTTTTTTTTTTTAAATTTATGGACTTTTCAAAAAATCAATAATTTAATAAGTTATTTTGAAAAACACTCCTGAATGTGCAAATATAGCAAGGTATCTTATTAATTATTTAATTATGACATTGTATTTTTCATTTATAATATTCATTATGAGAAATCAAATATTTCATACATTTCCATCCTATTCATCCTTATATGATCACAATAAGTGTCAAAATCAAGAAAGGGATTAAGAAAGAAAATTAGTGGTATCCACATGTCACAATGTTATATGTGTAGGAGGATAAGCATGAAGAAAATATAAAGATGATATTTAATTTTTCATTTCAATATAAAAAATCTAACAATATTATCCAAAGGGCAAATTGCAAGAAAATCGTTATATTACCTCAATTTTGATTTTGACAATAAGTTTTTTTCTTCTTAATTATATCACTATATTTATAATTTTGTTGCAATATCAACCAAATGACCAGTAAACTTGTTTTCTCAGTAACCATTTTTCTTGAATTGCAATAAGTCACTAAGTTTACCAAAATTTCAATTTTGATACCAAGTTTCAAATTGCAAGAAAGTCACTATATTACTACAAAATTTCGATTTTGATACCGACTTTTTTTTTCTTTCTCAATTATGTCATTACATTCATAATTTCGTTGTGATGTCAACCAATTGACCGATTTCGGAGATGTTATTGTGGTTTAGAAGTTCGATTTAGAAACTCGATTTATACAACAAATAAGGGGATAATGACTTAAAAGGGTAATATATTTTTTGATTTGCACACATTTGATCTCTGAGTTTTTTTTCGTTCATATTTACCTCTTCAACTTGTTAAACTGTACACATCTAGTCTTTATGACTGGTTATTCCAGAATAGCCTGGAAAAATGACTTATTAGGGTAATATATTTTTCATTTTGTACACATTTAATCCTTAATATTTTTATACGCATTTGGTCCTTAATATATATATATATATATATATATATATATATATATATATATATATATATATATATATATATATATATATATATATATATATGTAAGTCATTTTTTGTTTTTGTACAAATTCAGTACTTATGAATGATTTATTTAGAGTTTTTTTCACGACATCTAACATGAGACTATCATTGATGACAGTGACGGTTCTCTTTGGGTGTCCGCAGTGGCACAGATAACCCCTGCTTTTTCTGTACGAAGTGTAAATTTTTTGATATTTTTTCTTTTTTCTACTTACCGACAACACCTACTACGGACCAACAACACCTACTGCCAAATCCTGCGTTCATCCCTGATTGATGAAGTGTTTGGGGTTGTTAATGCTTATGTCCATCGCGGTCTCGATTGCTTGGTTGCATATGTCTTGTGGTTTGGCTTAGGTTTTGTATTCCGAATGTTTTAACTTCATATGATATCTGATTTTAACGATATTTATATCTACGTGTTCGTTTTTTAAGTCTGCTATAACTTTCGTTAAGATTATTCCCGTTAAAATATAATGTTTTTACTTACGATTTTATAAAAAAACATCCATACATGCATTCATAAAAAACGTATGTATATAAAGATCGTAATTAAAAAATATATTACTTTTTAACGAGAGTAATCTAAATGAAAGTTGTAGTAGATTAAAATACAAACACATAAATATAAAGATCGTTAAAATCCGAGATAGTATGAAAAAGTTATGATGTTCAAAACACATGACCTAAGCAATCAAGTAGTCGAGATCGCGATGGACATAAGCATCAAAAGCCTAAAACACCCCGTTAATGATTGTTCCATGTAAGATGTGAGAAAACCTTAAAGAAAACATTCATAAGTATTGAATGAGTATAAAAACAAAATAAATTATTTTGCAACAAAAAAAAAAGGACTAAATATATACAAAAATAATAAGGACTAAATGTATACAAAATGAGAAATATGTTACCATATTAAGACATTTTTACTGGTTAAAATGAAATAACCGGTCATAAGGACTGAATGTGTATAGTTTAACAAGTTGAAGGGGTAAATGTGAACAAAAAATAAACTCAATGACCAGATGTGTACAAATTGAAGAATATATTACCCTTTTAAATCATTATCCCACAAACAAATGAGGTCCATCCAATGGTTTAAACCAAGGTTGTCAAGATCGGGATCCTACATAGGATCGTTTTTTGGTTTGTAAGATCGGGATCGAGATCCTAAGATCCGACAAAATAAAATATAATATTAATTTATAATATTTAATCATAAAAAATATTTCAAACATTTAATTTTTCATTTAAATTTTAAAATATTAGTTATAGTCACAATAAAAATTGATAAATGTGGATTAGTAAAGGGTAAAAGACATAAAGTGGTAAAAAAATTTCATTTGAAAAAAAAAGAATTAATGGAAGGTAAGATCGGATCGGATCTCGATCCTATGATCCTACTTACGATCTTACGATCCTACCTGCGATCCTACCTCAAATACGATCATTTTACGATCCGGATTGTTTTTCATACCTAGGATCGTAGGATCGTACGATCCTACGATCAGGATCACGATTTTGACAACCATGGTTTAAACTGATTTACAAGTCAATGAAAAGGTATTTTAAAAGCGTTTTGAAATTTTTTGGCTATAGTACAAGGTTCTCCAAAGGAAAACTGGTATTCTCTATAACCTTTGGCTCTGATACCATTTTTGTCACACCCCGCTAAAGCGGAAATACGGGGTGTAGCAGTACAAAAGGGTTTCATAGAAAAAGTTAAAAGACAACCCCAACTATAGTGTTAAAAATTATTACAAATTTACAATGTTTAAACATATTTTTAAATGAAATTACAATGTAAATTGAAATACAACACATGCGAATGCTCCTAAAAGTGAAGTGTCCCTAAGTGCCACTTACTCGATGATTCATTAAAAGCGTGTAAAACGAACGTCAACTATAAAAATAGTTGGTGAGTACTCTCAAGTTTATAACATAATATAGTTTGAAATTATGATAATCAGAATACCAAGAAAAATAGAAATAAATAGTAAACACTTAAGATAAATCCCCAAATTTTTTATTTATGGTAGTAATGTAATAAACGATTTCCTGGTATGTTTTTGTGAATTGTGGATAAGTTTAAATATTTTAAACTTATTTAAATCTTTTAATATACATTCAATCTTGGATAGATAGTAAAATGTTATGGAAAATTCATCAAATTTTTCTAGGAAGCTTATATAATATATAGAAGCTTCGAAAAATAATAAATATGATTTTTATAATTTGGAACCTGACTTTTGTTATTTATTTGTGCTTAATAACAATAAAATAAAAACTAATAGTAAATAGTAATAAAACATTTTCAAACTTCATGGGGGATGTTTTTCTACAGTATAGGTCATTAATAAATTTTTCCGGAATTTATTTACTAGTGTAAATATTTTATATGCTTTAACACTTTATTTTCTTATTATTTTCATGTAAAAATAAAGAAAATATATATTGAGCTGAAAATTTTCAGAATGCATCTTCATACAATTTAATAACAATGAAAAATTGTTTTCTTATTTTTGATGTCGAAAAAAAATGCTTAAAGGCTCAATAAATTATAGAGAAAACTTGGTTCTTATGATTTTGGTAAAGATTATTGATGTTACTTTGGGAATTTTTGCAACATGTTCCTTGAATCAAGATCTTTTTGTCCCACTTAATACATGATATTAAGTGCTCAAATTAAATTTTCCTAGATTTTTAGTGAGGAATAAGACCTTTGAACATTTATTACAAAACTAGTATTCATAAAAAGGTGTTGTTTGAGCAACGGTTTTGTAAAAATTGTTAAAAATTGAAATATTGAAATTTTCTACTGAGGTCAGATGGGTTTGAAATCTAACTCACAATATTATATTTCTAAAAAATAATCTCGAATTTTTGTTAAGAAATGAGTGAGATATGGCAGTTTAAATTCAGACAAAGAAATATGGCAGATTACATGCATGATGATTGGTTAGAAAAATGAGTTTTCATCATTTCTTTGAGTAAATCTTTTGAAATATTTTATGAAATCATGATCCATGCATGTCATGGTCATGTTTCCAGAGATCAAATATATTTAAAAATCATAATTTACATACATGCATTAAAATACTAAAATCTTATTTCTCAAGAACTCTTAAAAATGAGTTTTATGTTCTCAACTTGAAAACCTATTTTTGTGCTAAGATGATGAACATGCAACCATGTTTTTCTACATGCATGGTGTTAAAACACATCCATGATGTTATAAAAGCCATTTTAACCGAAAGGAAACAAATTTGAAGAAGATGAAGAAGTAGAAGTTGGTTTTTGAAGTGATATGCACATAAATTCATAAGAAAATAGTAGAAACTTGCATGCATGATTTAGTTAGGTATTTTTACCTTGATGAGACCTTATGGATGATGGATATTTTTATGCAAAATGGTGGTTTTTGTTGGAAATTTTCGTGGGTAAAAGGAAGAGAAGGAATGTGGGGGGTTTTAGAGAGAAGAAAAGAGAGAAAAGAGGGATTCTATCTCTCTTGATAGCTCATCTCTCTCATCATCTCTTTGGGGTTATACTCCACCAAAATACTGAGATGCATGTTAATTCATGAATTATCAACTGGAAAAATGTCTCCTATAGATTTTGCGTCCATGTTCGTCAGTTTTAAAAAGAAGT